CCGGCGGGGCTCAGGGGTTGAGCGTTGACCTATGAACCAGGAGTCACAGTTCAATTCCTGGTCAGGGCTCATGCTGGGTTGCAGGCTCCATCCCCATGTGGGGCGTGCAGGAGGCAGCTGACCAGTGATTCTCTCATCATTGATGTTCCTCTCTCTCCCCCTCCCTCTTCCTCTCTGAAATCTATCTATCTATATCTATATCTATATCTATATCTATATCTATATCTATATCTATATCTATATTTTTTTATTTTTTTAAAGAACAGTAAACCTTCTTCCTGGAGCAGGTGTGAGGGGGAATGAATGTCAAGTGCTCAGCTGTGCCTGGAAATCAGCAAACATTTTAGAACTGGTCGCTGTGATTTTCGTTGTTGCCATCACCACCCCCATCTCTGTGCAGTTCATCTCATTAAGTTTTTTGTTTTGTTTTGTTTTGTTACTCCTCACCCGAGGATATTTCTCCATCGATTTTAGAGAGAGTGGAAGGGAGAGGGAAAGACAGAGAGAAACATCAATGTGAGAGAAACACACTGATTGGTTGCCTTCTGCACGAGCCCCGACCAGGGCCTGGGCCAGGGAGGAGCCTGCCACTGAGGTATGTGCCCTGGACCAGAATCGAACCCGGGACCATTCAGTCTGCAGGCCAGTGCTCTAACCACTGAGCAAAACGGGCTAGGGCAATCATTAAAGTTTCATTACATGCAAAAATGAAAAACAAATACTCAATTCTCTCCCTCCCCTCCCCCCAGAACTTTGATGGCGTGGCCATCTGGGCGTTCCCCAAGCTGCAGCCCCTGGAAGCCGTGGCCGTGGCGGAGGTCATTCACATCCACAGGAAGAGGAAGGTGTGGGATTACAGCTACGGCGACGAAAGCGACGGGGACGAGGAGGCGGCCCCCCGAGGCAGCGGCGGGGGCTACACCATGCACGGGCTGGCAGTCAGGGCTCTGTGCCCGGAGTCCCCCTCCTCGGCCACCCTGGGGGGCAGCGAGGAAGCCGAGTCCCTGATGGCACCCGGGCCCGAGCCCTGGCCCGCCGAGCGCACAAGTGGGGCCTACGAGGGGAAGGGGACCTGGGGGGCCCAGCGCACGAGTGGGGCCTACGAGGGGAAGGGGACCTGGGGGGCCCAGCGCACGAGTGGGGCCTACGAGGGGAAGGGGACCTGGGGGGCCCAGCGCACGAGTGGGGCCTACGAGGAGGAGGGGACCTGGCCGGCGGACCCCTTTCCCAGGGAGGACAGCGGCCCCAGCAAGAGCCCCGGGGACCGGATCTTCTTCAATGTGGACTTGAACTCCGTGCTTGTGAGGGTCCCCGACGGGGACGGCTCCGAAGCGCCCGCCATGCTCTGTCTCCCGGAGGAGCCGGTGGACTCTGACGACCCCGAGGACAGCGCCGCGGGGTCCGAAGACGCTCCTTTTGATGAAAACGACACCTCCAGGTCCGACGTGGGCATCGGGGACGGTTATATGATGAGATGACCCCAAAATATGGGCTTACCCAGCAGCTACCTCCCCACCCCTCGCTGCTCCTGTGGCGGGCAAGTGTGGGGAGGGGGGCAGAGCGCCCCCTTCCTGGGACGTTACCTGTGCAAATCCCCGTGGGGAGGGAGGGGAGACCAAGTGCCATCGTGTGGTCACCGGGGCCTCTCACATGTTCAGAGGGACAGGCCCTGGAGGGAATGCCCTGTCCTCTGTTCACGCACTGATCCCGTTCCTGCCTCAGTTTCCCTAAGGAGCAGGGTCCCCTGGGGTTTCCAAGGGTGGCCCAGGGCCCTGCGGAGTAAGCAGACAGCCAGGCCACCGCAGTGGCTGGAGTGTCCACAGTGGCTCCTACAGGCTCCCGGACAGAGCAGGGAAAGAGCCTGAGGGAGGAGCCAGGAGGCCTTCTGGCCTCAGGAGAATGAAGGCCTGAGGTTCCTGGTCCTTTAGGCATTTAAGACGCGGCCGTGTGTGTTGACACCAAATGCCCTACTTGTGACCACAGTCCTGTGACTGGGGGTAGGGGCAGGTAGGGGCAGGCTCCAGAGCCTCAGTAGCAGACGCCCAGGACTGGGACTCCTGCTTCTGAGCCTGTTGTGCTGTGTGGCCCTGAGCACTTTGCTCAGCCTCTCTGAGCCTGTGTACTCACTTGTGAAATAAGGAGACTGGACAAGGTCATCTCCGAGACCCTGTGATGCTGGGAGAAATATTAGGAAACTAGAGGCCCAGTGCATGAAATTCGTGCGCGGGTAGGGTCCCTAGCAGCTGCCAGCTGCTGGCCGGGGCCTGCCTTCATTCCGGCCGCCTTCTGGTGGTCAGCGCACGTCATAGCGAGCAATCGAATTCCCAGTTGGTCAAACTCCCAAGGGGACACTTTGCATGTTAGGCTTTTCTATATATAGATACACAGGCCTGGTGACAGGCGGAGGGGCACAGCCCAGGAGGCTCTGGGGTGAAGGGAGGGTATAGAACCCCCTGACCTTGGCCCCTCACCCAGAATCAGGGTCCTCAGACCTTCCTTCTAGATCCTTCCAAGGAGGGAACAAAGTTTACAGCAGTCCTACTAGGCCAAGGACTTTGAATAGATTGTTTTCTTGTTGCTCTAAAGTAACTCAAAGGACAGGTCCGAGAAAGGGGCGGTGTCGATCTGATGGGTTCTGTAGCAAATGGACAGAGTCATAGACCAGCAGTCGCCAGCCTTTCGGACCTCACGGACCACCGGTCGGCAGTCACTGTCGTAGACGCTGTCCATGTCTCTGGCGGTCAGCCGCACTGTGGGAGATTTCCAGAGTGACCTTTCCCGGAAAGCTCTCTTTGGCAGCGTGTGTACCTGTGTTTTTAAATTTTGTATAAGGGTTGGAGGTTGGGAAAGGATAATACAGAGATACTTTTTAATACAAACGTGGCGTATTTTGTTTTTTTAATCCTCGCCTGCCTGAGGACATGCTTAGAGAGAGGGAAAGAGAGAGGAACATCCATGTGACAGAAAAGCATGAATCAGTCGCCTTTCATGTGTGCCCCCGCCAGAGGGAAACGAAGCCAGGCATGCGCTGCACCCTGACCAGCCGCCCGTGGGTGCACAGGGCGCCCAACCCACTGAGCCACCCAGGCCTGCCCAGCGTGCCAGCTTTGGGGGCTGTTTCTCAATGAGAGCGCACATGCCGTGGACGGGTTCTGCGGGCATGGCCACGCTGCACCAACCGCCTCACCTCTGTGGGAGGACCTGCGGGAACCCTTGCACTGGGGCCAGTGGGTGTCTCAGAGGCAGACACGGGCAGTCCCAGCACTGACCCTGCCCTGGGACTCCCAGTCTCTCCCTGTGCGCGTTTAAAAAGAGGAAATTAACCCTCCTCCCCAGCTTGTGAGAGAGACGAGTCGTTGACAAATAACTGACTTGGGTCTGTGACGCTTGTCCCTGGAGAGGAAGGGGAAACCGGATTTGCCGTGGACTTCTATAAAGTCAGTGTGTGTGTGGGAAGGGGACAGGGACTCGCTGGTTCACGGAGGACATGGTGCCAGGATACACCCAGCCAGAGGATGCAGGAGACACCCAGGCAGGGATGCAGGAGACACCCAGCCAGGGGATGCAGCAGACACCCAGCCAGGTGATGGTAGGAGACACCCAGCCAGGTGATGGTAGGAGACACCCAGCCAGGTGATGGTAGGAGACACCCAGCCAGGTGATGGTAGGAGACACCCAGCCAGGTGATGGTAGGAGACACCCAGCCAGGTGATGGTAGGAGACACCCAGCCAGGTGATGCAGGAGACACCCAGCCAGGAGATGCAGCAGACACCCAGCCAGGTGATGCAGGAGACACCCAGCCAGGGGATGCAGGAGACACCCAGCCAGGGGATGCAGGAGACACCCAGCCAGGGGATGCAGCAGACACCCAGCCAGGGGATGCAGGAGACACCCAGCCAGGGGATGCAGGAGACACCCAGCCAGGGGATGCAGGAGACACCCAGCCAGGGGATGCAGGAGACACCCAGCCAGGGGATGCAGCAGACACCCAGCCAGGTGATGGTAGGAGACACCCAGCCAGGTGATGGTAGGAGACACCCAGCCAGGGGATGCAGGAGACACCCAGCCAGGAGATGCAGGAGACACCCAGCCAGGGGATGCAGCAGACACCCAGCCAGGTGATGGTAGGAGACACCCAGCCAGGTGATGGTAGGAGACACCCAGCCAGGAGATGCAGGAGACACCCAGCCAGGGGATCCAGCAGACACCCAGCCAGGGGATGCAGCAGACACCCAGCCAGGGGATGCAGGAGACACCCAGCCAGGGGATCCAGGAGACACCCAGCCAGGTGATGGTAGGAGACACCCAGCCAGGTGACGCAGGAGACACCCAGCCAGGAGACGCAGGAGACACCCAGCCAGGAGATGCAGGAGACACCCAGCCAGGTGATGGTAGGAGACACCCAGCCAGGTGATGCAGGAGACACCCAGCCAGGTGATGGTAGGAGACACCCAGCCAGGAGATGCAGGAGACACCCAGCCAGGAGATGCAGGAGACACCCAGCCAGGGGATGCAGGAGACACCCAGCCAGGTGATGGTAGGAGACACCCAGCCAGGAGATGCAGGAGACACCCAGCCAGGAGATGCAGGAGACACCCAGCCAGGGGATCCAGGAGACACCCAGCCAGGAGATGCAGGAGACACCCAGCCAGGTGATGCAGGAGACACCCAGCCAGGGGATCCAGGAGACACCCAGCCAGGAGGCGCCTGGATGGCCTGGCCTCTGTGAGCTCCATTCCGGGACCTTGAGCGCCAGTTTCGCAACCTGTTTCACTACATCGGTGTTTTCCACTCACCGGGAGGGCGGCCCAGGGCCCCTCCTTGCTCCGCACCCCCTGCCCGTCCCGGTGACAGGGGCCTCTGGCTCTGGGGCGCACGCGGGGAGGGGCGCGCAGAAGCAGGGAGGCGGGGCGGCGGGGAGAGGGGCGGGGCGGCGGGGAGAGGGGCGGGGCGGCGGGGAAAGGGGCGGGGCGGCGGGGCGAGAGGCGGGGCGGCGAAGGGGCTCCGGTGGCCCCGCCCCGAGTTCCCGGAAGCGGCCTCGGGGCTGGGTCCCGGTGCGTCGTTGGCTGCCCGCCGCCCCCAGCGCCCTCGGGGCGGGGACCCCGGGGCCATGGCGCGCGGCCTCCGGAGCTGGCTGGGTGGCTGCCTGCTGGTGACAGGTGAGCGCTGCGCCCGGGCTGGTCCCCCCCTCCCACCCCCCTCGCCCCGGCCCGGCCACCTGCGCGCGGCCCCGGACCCGCGTGGGCCCGCACGGCCGGCAGAGGCGCTTGGGAGCCGGGGAGCCCCGTGGCGAGGTCGGGCAGCGATAACCCCAAGGGCCACTCTGAGGGGTCCCCTTAGACACCCTGCAAGTCACCAGTGTTCACTGGCCCACTCGGCGCTCAGCACCCACCATCTGGTTCTGCCCCAACTCCAAGCTCTGGTTCTGAGCCCCAAGTCCAGGGACACCTTTCCCGCCCTGGACGACAGAGTCGGTCCCCCCACCCGCCAGGGCGGACCCTAGACGTGGGCGCAGGGGAGAGACAGCTGCTTTACCCTGAATGGCGCCCCAGGAGGATGGGCTAGCCCAGCTCCCCAAAGTCGGGGAGGTGACAGACTGGGTGGGGGCTGGGGGCTGGGGTGCTGGGAGTTGGTGGGGGAGGAGAGGAGGCGAGGAACCCCCTCCCGGCTTGGGGGCAGCCCTGACCCCGCCCCTGCCTGCCTGGTCTCCCTGGAGAGTCGCAGTGGGGCGACCACCCGGGCTCAGGAGCTGGAATGGAACTGAGGCCGGGGTGTCCCTTCCACCTGCAGGGGTCCCACCGGTGACCCCACCTCCCGCCCTGCTGCTGCCTCAGGGCTGCTGGGGGGAGAGACCCGGCTCCGAGGTGTGGAAAGATGTGGTCTCCAGGCGAGGATTTAAAACTCAAGGCCATCGAAGTCCCAGCCCCCTGGGCCCACGCTCTCGGGACGGCCTGCCCCCCTTCCTTTCGGGCAGACGCACCCAGCCTCCCAGACACGGGGACATGGGGACACGTGCCATCCCGGAGTCCCCTTCCCCTCGCTGTTCCCATGGGGACCCTCCACCTGCCGGGTCCATTTCGGGCCCTCCTTCCCCACACCCGTCCTCAGCCACGGCCACGGCTCAGACCCCTCTGTGGGTTCTGCTGGGTGACGGGCCAGTGGGGTTCTATTCTCCTCTCTCTGCTTTTATGGATGTTTGACATGTTCTCGTAACAAGTTTTTAAATGATTTCCATCTCTAGCCTCAGAGTCACTCATCCTGCTGTCCCAAACACCCCTGGGGCATGTCCCCAGCACCCCAAGCCTCTGCCGCTGGAGTGCGGCCCTCGCCTCCCCGGCCCCCAGCCCCACCCAGCGTCGGGTGCTCAGGCCAGGGGTGGAGAGTAAGTTCCCGTCTCCGCAGCAAAAGTGCCTGAGGTCTAGAGTCGATGCCTCTGGGAGTCTGTCCAAACCCACCTGCCCACCTCACCCCTTCCTCTCCCTCACCCCGCGCCCATAGGAAGACGGGGAGCCGTAGGGGAGACCTGAGGGTTGGACCTGGTCATTTTCTTGGGCGACCATTTTTTTTTTTTTTTAATCCTTACCCGAGGATATTTTTCCCATTGATTTTCAGAGAGAGTAGAAAAGAGGGGGAAGAGGGGAGAGAGAGAGAGAAAGAGAGAGAGAGAGAAACATCAATGTGAGAGAGACACATCGGTTGGCTGCATGTGCCCCAACTGGAAACAGGGATCGAACCTGCAACCCAGGTACTTGACCTTGACTGGGAGGCGAACCCTCAGCCCTTCGGTGCACAGGCAGGCGCTCTAACCACTGGCCCAGCTGGCCAGGCTGCGGTGACCTTTCAGGTAAAAAGTCGCAACCGTTTTCCCTTGATTTTTACAGCATTAGGAATGGTGCCTCCTCCTGAAAACGTCAGAATGAATTCCGTTAATTTCAAGAACATTCTGGAATGGGAGTCGCCTGCTTTTCCCAATGGGACGCTGACTTTCACAGCTCAGTACTTCAGGTGAGCCTGGGGGCGGGTGGCAGGAAGGTGGCGAGGACGGTGGCCCTGGGCCGGCACCGGCTGGGCCTCGGGAAACGCGCCTGTGTCACCCACGTGACCGTGGCCGCCCACGGAGCCGCCCGCGGCCGCTTCCTCTGTCCAGCCCCCGCCCGTGAAAGCGCTGTCCCGGCAGACGGGTGAAACGCGTCTTACTCTGCCCCGTGGTGCCCGGTTGGGCGCGGCAGGGGTGGTGGGAGAGGGAGGCGTGTTATCACAGGACGGGATGCCGTCGGCCGCACGGTCCCCGACGCTGAAGCGAACATCTCGGGCTTGTGTGTTTTTTAATAGGAGACATCCCTCTGGCACTGACACAAACCACAGTTTTTTAATTTTATTTTATTTTTAAATATATTTTTATTGATTTCAGAGAGGAAGGGAGAGGGAGAGAGAGAGAGAAACATCAATGATGAGAATCATTGATCGGCTGCCTCCTGCACGCCCCCCACTGGGGATCCAGCCCGCAACCTGGGCACGTGCCCTGACTGGGAATCGAACCTGGGACCCTTCAGTCCGCAGGCTCCATCCACTGAGCCATACTGGCTAGGGCTATTTTTATTTTTTTAATATATTTTTATTAATTTCAGAAAGGGAGAGAGGGATAGAATCAGTGATGAGAGACCAATTGGTCGGCTGCCTCCTGCAGGCCCCACAGTGGGGATCGAGCCAGCAACCTGGGCCTGTGCCCTTGACCGGGAATCGAACCGTGACCTCCTGGTTCATAGGTCGACGCTCAACCCCTGAGCCACGCCAGTCAGGCACATGGATGTTTTTAAGAGAAACTGTCGCTGATAGCACCCCAGTTAGAGTCGTGTTGCTAGAAGTCAGCAATACCCGGTGAGAGCCGTCCAGGAGGGCGGAGGCCAAGTCCGCAAGCCCCTGCCATCTCCCCTCCCCCCGGTGACAGACCGTGAGCCCCCCGCGCCGTGGGTGCGGGTGGTTCGCACAGAGGGAGCTCCGCGGCCGTGGCCTGAGACCGAGCAGAGGCAGCTCCTGCCTAGCAGGCTGGTCTCCGAAAGCCCAGGGGTGTGCGAGGTGAGGGGGTGAGTGTGGGACCCCAGGATCTCCGTGGGGCGCTGACCTCCCAGGCCGGCCTCCCTTCGCAGCCTGCGGGGACGCCCCTGTGCGCCCGGCGCAGCCAGCAGCCGGCACCTGCTCACGGGCGACACAGCAGCCGACGGACACGGTGCCCTGGTGGAGCAGGAGGAAACGCGGGTCCGGGAGTCCGTGAACCCCACGCTCCTCGCACCCAGCCTTCCGCTCGCAGACCCGGGCCTGCTGGTGCGAGCGGAGTGGGAGGCGAGGACAGTCCCGGCGCGCCTGTGTTTCACTTTACCGTGCAGGGTCATTCCACGCTAAGTACAGCCCGAGAGCTTCCCAGCAGCCTCTCCCCAGGCGCCCAGCCTTCCGGCCGCTCCCACCGCCCTTTGCCCCGTCTCCCTGTGCGTTTCCTAAGAGCAGGGCGGTCGCCAGCACCGGCAGCTCTCACCCGGGCGACCCCTGGCTCTGGGGAGCTTGGCTGAGAATTCCGCCCGCGGGGTGGGGGAGGGGGCCGGGCACAGACTGTCTCCTGTGTGTGCGTGGGGAGGGGGGCAGGGGGCGGGCACTCGTGATTTTAATGTAGAAACATCTAAACAATGAAATGTAAATATGGGGGAGGGGTCACTTGCCTATTTAATGGGGAGAAAACTCTTAAATGCGATCAAGGTGACCTGGTGGAGGGAGGTTACGCGGAGCCACTTGGAATACTCTGTGTTCCCCCCAGTGGAGGCTTCAGTTTAGCTGCGGGGGGGGGGGGGGGGGGACCGCCTGCGAGGAAACCCCCGTAATGAAAGGACCCTGGGGTTTTCCGAACGGCGGGGCGCGTCTCCGTTCTCCCGCCTGCGCGTCACCTGTGACACAGGGGCCATTTCAGCCGCCCTCCTGGGGTGGGGCCAGCACACCCAGGGCTCACCTGACACCAGTGCGACAGGTGTGAGCCGTCGGCAGTTTTATCAGCAGCTTCCTGGCCACCTCCAGAGGGGCAGGCAGGCGAGGAACCGGTGGGACAGAGCCTGGCTCTCCTCGGGGCTGCGGGGAGGAGAAGTCACACCCCTGGGGGTGCTCCCGAACACCCCTGTTCTGCCTCCTCACCTGTGGGCCCCCCTCCCCTCAGTGGCTGGTGTCAGGCGGGGAGCGGAGGTCAACCAATTGTTTCCAGGGAGATCACAGCGAAGTCACGCACAGGACGTGTGAAATCACTGTCATGTGCTCACCGCGGCGGACCCGTGTGCGCCCACCTCGCACAGCGTGTGCCCGTTCTCAGAGCCATACCCGGGAGGGGCTGCCTTCCTCACGTGTGTGGGGTGCTTGGCTCCCTCTGGGGAGGCAGGTGCTCGGGGACAGGAAGTCTCAGAACTTCTGTTGTGAACACAGGCACCTCTCCACGTTCAACCCAGTTTTTGCCCCAAATTGTTTGACCCTGGAACCGACCTTTTTTCTTTTTTTTTTTTTTAATATATTTTTATTGATTTCAGAGGGGAAGGGAAAGGGAGAGAGAGAGAGAAACATCAATGATGAGAGATGCCTCCTGCACACCCCCTACTGAGGATCAAACCCACAACCCAGGCATGTGCCCTTGATCGGAATCGAACCCAGGACCCTTCAGTCCGCAGGCCAACGCTCTATCCACTGAACCAAACCGGCTAGGGCTGGAACTGACCATTTTTAAAAACATATTTTTATTGAGTTCAGAGAGGGAGAGAAAGATAGAAACATCAATGATGAGAATCATTGATCGGCTGCCTCCTGCACGGCCCCTACTGGGGCTTGAGCCCACAACCCGGGCACATGCCCTGACCCGGAATCCTAGACCTACTGGTTCACAGGTCAACACTCAACCACGGAGCCACGCCCGCCAGGCTGGAATGGACCATTTTTGAAATAGCTCTAAGACAGCGGTTCTCAACCTGTGGGTCGCGATCCCTTTGGTGGTCGAACGACCCTTTCACGGGAGTCGCCTAAGACCATCCCGCATATCAGATGTTTACATGACGATTCATAACAGTAGCAACATGACAGTGATGAAGTAGCAACGAAAATAATTTTATGGTTGGGTCACAACATGAGGAACTGTATTTAAAGGGCCGGAAGGTTGAGAACCACTGCGCTAGGAGCATCGAAGTCCCGTGGGACTCAGTGAGTAAAATGCTCATAAATGATGCATCCTAGTCGTCAACATTGATGATGAAGAATTTGCTTGCTCACCTGGCTGGTGTGGTGCAGTGGTGACCTATAAACTAGGAGGTCACGATTCGATTCCGGTCAAGGTCGCATGCCTGGGTTGCAGGCTGGATCCCCAGTGAGGGGTGTTCAGGAGGCCGCCCGTCCGTGAGTAACAGCCTCAGGCGTCCTGTCTCCGGTTCTGTAGTTACAGGAAGTTCCAGGACAGGTGCGTGGGCACCGCCGCCACGGAGTGTGACTTCTCAGAGCTCTCCAAGTACGGCGACCACACCCTGCGCGTCCGGGCCGAGCTCGGGGACGAGCACTCCGACTGGGTGAACGTCACCTTCTGTCCCATCGATGACAGTAAGTCGCCCTGCTTTCCGTTTCGCTGTGATGTCCTCGCCACGCCTTGGGGTTTTCCCCATCGGCTGCCCGTCAGCCAGGATCCTTTGGGTGCCCACAAAGTGGATGGCCTTGTGCCAGGAACTTGGGGAAGACGCAGCAGAGAGGACTGTGGCCTTCAAGAAGCTGCTGGGAGAGACGGGAGGGCAGGCAGAAAGTGAGTAAGGGAATTAAGTAGAAACGTAGTAGCGGGGTGCCTTCAAGGTGAGAAGCGTTGGGGCCAGGGCTGTTCACGAGAGGACCTGGGTGGTTAACGTACAGTCGTGCACCGCTGAGCCAGGGGGTGCCCCTGAGAAATGTGTCGCCAGGTGATCTCAGTGGGCAGTCACCACAGAGACCCTCACACGCCTGGACGGCACGGCCCACTGCACACCTGGGCCACGCTCCTGGGCCACGGCCTGGCCAGCTCGTCGCTGCACTGAGTTCTGTGGGCAGGTGGGACGCACAGTGAGTATCTGCATATCTAAACACAGAGACGGGCCCAGCCGGGGTGGCTCAGCGGTTGAGCGTCGACCCAGGAACCAGGGGGTTACCAGTTAAGTTCCCACTCAGGCCGCATGCCCACAGCGCAGGAGACACCAGGTCCAGGATCCTCTCTCATCATTAATATTTCTATCTCTCTCTTCCTCTTATTCTCTGAAATCAATTAAAAATATATTAAAAGTATATATATATATATATTACTAGTATCAGTCTTTTGAAAAAAAGTTTTTTGACACCGGCATCACACAGACCTGTTAGTAACGCGTTGCTCTATGACAGTGAGGGCGAACCTTTTGAGCTCGGGGTGTCAGCATTTTGAAAAACCCTAACTTAACTCTGGTGCCGTGTCACATATAGAAATTTTTTGATATTTGCAACCACAGTAAAACAAAGGCTTATATTTTTGATATTTATTTTACATATTTAAATGCCATTTAACAAAGAAAAATCAACCAAAAAAATGAGTTCGCGTGTCGCCTCTGACACACGTGTCATAGGTTCGCCATCACTGCTCTATGACATCATGATGCCTATGACATCACTGGGCAATGGGAATCTTCAGCTCATTATAATCTTAAGGGGCCAGGGTCATACATGTGGTCCGTCATTGGCCGACACACCGTTACGCAGTGCGTGACTGTAGGACATTTTCTGGGAGGAAGTGAGTTTGGAATTAGGACTTAAATGTGACAGAGGCCAAGAATAAAGGTATTCCAGGCAGGTGTGGGGACAGGGAGACTGTGCAGACAGCCCACTTGCCCAGAACGAAGGGCAGAGCAGTGGACACAGCAGATGGCAGGTGTGTGGGGTCAGGCTGCCTGGGAAGCATAGACACGGTGCCCAGGTGAGGTCTGGAACGTCCTGGGGTCCCCAGAGGTCACGAGGTGAACATAACAGGACCCCAGGGACTGGAAACTGATGAAACCACTGTGCAGCCGCTGCGAGAGGTTACAGGGGCCTCATGAACAGACTCCAGCACAGCCTTCCAAGCCGTGGAGACACACTCGGGAGGGTCGTCTCCAAGCACCCCCTGCCCTGGGCCCTGGGGGCTCCCCCAGTTCCGCTCACTCGGGGAAGGAATGCCGCCAGGGTGTCCTTCCGCCCTTCCCCAGTCCCCAGGCTGCCCAAAAACACTCTTATTTCTGGAGTCAGAAATTATTCGAGTTATATTATCTTTTCTAAAGATAGAAATGATGAGAGAGAATCATGGATCGGCTGCCCTCTGCACACCCCATACTGGGGATGGAACCGGCAACCCGGGCAGGTGCCCCCGACCGGGAATCCAATGGTGACCTCCTGGTTCATAGGTCGACACTCTATTAAATCTAAGAAAAACGTGATCATTGGAAAGTACAGAGCCTTGTCAGCAGTCAGGTCTCCAGAACATCGCACGGTTTCTGCTCCTGGAACTGCGAAGCAACTTGCCGGGCCCTGCCTCGTTACAGATGCTGTTTTAGAGAATCTTGCTTTGGAAGTTCCCTTTGGGGACGGATACAGAAATAGAGAAGCAGCTTGCCAGGTCACAGAGGTGAAGAGTGAGGGAGCAAGGGTTCCGATCAGGCCCCTGCACCCCACTTTTAGCAGCAAGTGCCCTATATTGGGCATTTGCCTCTCTGAGTTTGTATGATAGGAAAATGCTTCAGACGTCGTGTGGGGCCTTGTATACTTGCTTTGGAAAAACAGCGAATGGGTTTTTATGCCTGGTGTTGAGCTACCAGCAAGCAGATTAGAAATGGGGTAGGATGCAGGCAGCAGGCCCATTCACAGCAGCCAGAGAAGAATACAGAAGAGAAGGCACAGCGGGCTGCCCAGAGCCATTCATTGTGTTCTTTATTCGCTCTACCGTTCTTCCTGCGCGTCTGCCAAGTGCCAGGCACATTCTCGGGGCTGACGCCGCAGCCATGAGCAAGAAAGTGATGAAATCCTGCCCCGTGGAACCTCCTTTCTAATGGGGAAGACAGATAACACACAAATAGATACATATTTTTTTAAATATGTTTTTCTTTTTTTTTCTTTTTAATTTAAATTTTTTATTGTTGAAAGTATTACATATGTCTCCTTCCCCCCCATTGACTTCTTCCCGGCTGCTCCTTGCAACATATAAAATATGTTTTTCTTGACTTCAGAGAGGAAGGGAGAGGGAGAGAGAGAAGCATCAATGATGAGAGAGAATCATGGATCGGCTGCCTCCTGCACACCCCACACTGGGGATGGAACCCGCAACCCAGGCATGTGCCCCGACCAGGAGTCCAATGGTGACCTCCTGGTTCATAGGTCGACACTCAACCACTGAGCCACGCCAGCCGGGCTAGATGCATGTCTGTGACAGAGTGGCCGTGGCTGTCAGGAAAATAAAGCGAGGCCCCCCGGGCAGGAAGTGGTGGAGCTGCTCTTCACACGGCAGGGGTGGGGGCGGGGGGGGGGGAGCAGCTTCTGGCTCTGGAGGCAGCATTGGAGCTGAGACCAGCCCTATGCACGTCTAGTAAAAGAGCATTTGGAAGGCAACAACTTCAGGCTCCATTGGAAAGCGTATGTGGTTAATTGTATCTGTTAAACACTAAGAATAGCAGAAATACCATCTGTAGCTTCTAACCCAGCCAAGGAGATAAAGCCAATTCAACCCTAGTAAGCCGGGGTGGGGGCAGGGGGAGCAGTCTTTACAGGAAACACAAAATAAGGTACTTGGAATAGTTTGGAAGACATCAGAAATTACAACAAATGTAAATGAACCAAAATGATTAATAAAAGCCAAGATTGTCAGGTTTATTTTTCAGAAACAAAATCCAGCCGCCCTCCTTAGCCACGGCAGTCCGTGTCAGAGCAGGGGTATATCCAAGAGCAGACCAGTGGGTCTGCGCGGTTATGAAAACTAAATGTTGACGTTTTTAAACGATGATTTTTTTTATTGTCATTGTGCTTTGTTCTCATCCTCAGCCGCTATCGGACCTCCTGGCGTGCAAGTGGAGGCACTTGCTAATTCCTTACACATACGTTTCTTGGCCCCGAGAATTGAGAATGAACATGAGACGTGGACCATGAAGAACATTTATAGCGCGTGGCTTTATCACATGCAATATTGGAAGAACGGCTCGGACACCACGGTGAGCTGGGCAGGCCGTGGGCATTGCAGACGTAGGCTCCCTGCTCTTGGCTCCGTGTGGGTGTGAGGCCATGAGGACAGAGGGAGGGCGCTAGGGGGCCCTCTGGCCAGGGTCTTACAAGGAGGCAGCACCCTAAGGTCCAGGGACCTGCGGCCTGTGAGCACCCGAAGCCCCGGTCTGAGGGAGGACCGGTGCCCCGGTTCACACTCCCAGGCCCCAGGTAAGTGCCCGGAGCAGACCTCCTGGGTGCTGGTGCCGGAGAGCAGACCCGTGCCTTCCCCGAAGGGAAGCTGTGGACGAAGGCAGCGCTGACTCAGCGGTTGGCTGGGGGCCTTGGAGAGGCTGAGTCAGGTGATCCACTGAGTCAGGCGGTCGCTGAATGATGACCGTGTTGTGGCCTGAACCCTCAGCCCCACCTTCACCACAGGACAGTCCAGTCCATGGTCAGGCAGCCCACCCCAGGCTGAGCAGAGTCACGTGGTACCTGTTGGGGCCACTTTTCCCCAGCACTCCCCCCCCTCTTTGGGGGACCATCCTTTTCAAAACATGGCCTGGGGTGGGAAGACCTGCTGGGACGTGGCCCCTGCCACCGAGTGGCTCTGGTCACATGCTTGACCTCAGCTTCCTCATGTCTGCACCGCAGCCACAGTGACCCACTTCGTCAGCACAGCGGGGGAACAGCCGCGGCCTGGGGTGGTTGGGGGGCCGGAGGACACCAGGAGAGCCTGGGCCGCGCTCCATCGCCAGGCCAGCATGGGGGCAGCACCGGGGCCCCTTCCCTGGATGCAGACGTGTGAAGGTGGTTTGCCCTCGTCCTGGGTCAGCTTTATTCTCATTCTTAGTGCTTCTGAGCCGACAGCCACGCGTGGCCCTAAACGGACGTCCCTGCGTGTATGTCCCTTACGTTACATGGGTGTTACCTCCGCTGCATCGATGTCGATTTTATCACTCAAGCGTTTGGCGGCAAAGGGTCAGCCATGTGTGTTGTCTCAGGAATGTTGTAATTAAATTTACGTGTATGTACTGCATAGCGCCCCACAAAATTTCAAGTTAACTTTTCCCCCCAGAAAATGCTCCATTAAAGTATGCAAGATATCTACCTTCCTTTTTTTAAAAATGTATATAATTGATTTCAGAGAGGAAGGGACAGGGAGAGAGAGAGAGAAACATCAATGATGAGAGAGGATCATTGATTGGCTGCCTCCTATACGATGGAGATGGAGCCCGCAACCCGGGCATGTGCCCTGACCTGGAATCGAACTGTGACCTCCTGGTTCATAGGTCGATGCTCAACCCCTGAGCCGCACCGGCCGGGAGCCATTGCCGGTTGATCTGTGCTGTGGCTGAACGTCTATGTCCCCCACCCCGAGTCCACGTGTCGAAACGCAAGCCCTCATGGGATGGTGGCGGGAGGAGGGGTGATCCAGGCGTGAAGGGGGGAGCTTTTATGAACGAGACCCCGGAGACTCCTCGCCCCTCCCGCCCTGTGAGGACCCCAAGGAAAGAGCAGCTTTGAGCCTGGAAGTGCCTCCCCACTGGACACAGGTCTGCTGGCACCTGGACCTGGGACTCCAGCCTCAGAGTTGTGAGGACACTTGTTATAAACCCCCGTCTGTGGTTTTCTGCCAAGGCAGCGCCCCCCCCCCGAACCCCCGCCCCGCGAACAAGACCATGTGGTCTCTTCTCGCCTCAGATGCTTCCAGAGGCCCGAGTTAGGTCCCTAACTGATAGCAGACGCGGCTTTAGACACGCTATTGCTTCCTGATGGGAGAAAGAGAGAGAGTGAAGCCAGAAGTTGCCCAGAGGGAAGGAGGGCTGGAGAAGCCATGGGAGGGCCCCCCGCCCCCCGCCCTGCCGCTCCCGCTCTGCCTCCCAGGGTCGCCTTTGACAAGAGCATCACACGGTGCCAGAGGGATTGGTTTTCCAGAAACGAAAGCCAGGAGTTGGAGCTTTTCTTCTTGGTTTTAATTATTCGGAGTCACACAATCCCCTTCATGTATCCGACGGGTATAATCCAATTCCTTCCCTCCGTGGATTCAGCTTCTCATGCAATAAAGGAACATCAGCAAGATGCCGATCAACCCAACCCCCAAAGGAAATAACCAGCTCCCAACACAGCACAGGTCTGTGCTCACTTTCCGTGGACATTCCCGTGCCTGTGACAGACTTTCCGTGGCCCCTTTCCTAGGCAGTTCCAACAGGATGGCCATGCGAAGAGCAGGTGCTCCTCGTCCCTGTGTTTTGCCAGAAACGGCTTTGGATTCTCAGATTCAATCATGATGTTTTACATTCAGATCGAGCTAAGAGGAGTCGGGGAGGCGCCCTCCAGGCAGGCGGTGGTGTGGGCCCTGCGGGTGAGGTGGGCCACTCGGGGGCGGGCACCCTGGGTACACGAGCAGAGGGAACCCCAGCAGCCAGGCTCAGACTCAGGCTCTTGACTTGGAAAGAAAGTCACACTGAGTCTCACTGTAGATGACCGTGTATCAGTCAGCTCTGGCTGCTGTAACAAAACACCCCAGCCGGCGACCTCAGGAACAGGGTGATGGAGGCTGGAGGTCAGGTCACGGCATCTGCAGGGCTGGGTCCCTCGAGGCTGAGGGACCGGCTGCTCCAGGCCCCTCCCCAGCCTCTGCTGGTCGCTGATAACCTTTGGCTCCTGGGCCTGTAGCAGCATCGCTCCCATCTCTGCCCTTGTCTTCACACGGCCGCCTCCCTGCGTGCGTGTCGGTGTCCACACGTCCTCTGCGTATAAGGACACAGGTCATGCTGGCATCCTCTTAGCCTGGTGGTTTCCTAAGGATGTCATTTAACCTGACTGTCCCTGTAAAGCCCACACTATATCCAACTGAGTCTCTCTCTAAGGCACAGGGTTAGGACTTCAGCTTGTGAACTGGGGGGGAGGGGGGTGCACAGTGCAACATGTACAACTAGTAGATCCTTTTTGAAAAGGAAGTGGGATGGTTTGTGTGTCGTTTAAAGAATTAAAGAAACACATCTGTGCCCTGGCCGGTGTGGCTCAGTGGATAGAGGGCCGGTCTGCAGACCAAGGGTCCCAGGTTCGATTCCGGTCAAGGGCACATACCTTGGTTGCAGGCTCCTCCTGGCCCAGGCCTGGTTGGGGCTCCTGCAGGAGGCAACCATTCGATGTGTCTCTCTCATATTGATGTTCTCTCTGTCTTTCCCTCTCTCACTTGCTCTAAAAATCAATGGAAAAATACCCTAAGACGAGGATTAACAAGAAACACGTATGTGAGGATCAGTCAGTGCTTGCCCCCCTCTTAGAAGGGACCCCGGGATGAACTGGGAGACGTCGTGGTCCCTTCATCTTCCTGCCTTGAGCCTGATGTTCAGATTATACCTGGAAGGGGGGTGCAGATGGAGGGGGGGGGCCCATGTCCCTTCCCCGCTGAGGCCTGTTCTTATCTTTGTCTCCCTGACTAGTATCCAGTGACTTGTCAGCATGACTTCGAGGTCCTCAGGAACCTGGAGCCGTGGACCACCTACTGTGTTCAAGTCCGGGGCTTTCTTCCCGATCGGAACAAAACCGGGCAGTGGAGCGAGCCCGTCTGCGAGGGAACCATCAGCGACGGTGAGTCGCTGCTCTCCCGCGACGTTTCCGAGAGCTGTACACGCGCCGCCGTGCGGGCGGGCGGCCCCTCCACGTCGCCCGTGCAGCCCAGGCTCCCCAGGCCCGCCCTGCCTGTGGGCTCCGTGCTCCTGGGAGCAGGGCGCCGGGCTGGGGCCACAGTAACAGCCAATCCCTCCGAGAGGGAGGCCTTCCCTGGGCTGTCCCTGTGCGGTCCCAGGGCACTGCCGTGCCGCGTCTGTCACCGGACAACCAGGGGTCCGGCTGCCTGTCACTCCCTGAGCCGATTCAGCAGAGACGGGGCTGAATCCTCGATGAGCGTTTATTCCAATCCTGCCGGCAGCGCGGGAGAGCAGGGGGTCACCCACAACATTCTGTTCTGCACCCCCATAAGCCGGCTGCTTGTTTGGTAGAAGGACTCGGATTACATGGGAAGGAGGCAAAAGGGCAAATGAGCAGTGTACCAGGAAGGCGGGCGTGGAGACCGGCAAAGGCCTGTGGGTATGCAAAGGCCCAGGGCCTTCAAAGGGCTGGCGGCAGCTCCCCGACGGGGAGGACGGGCCGCACTTCCAGATGAGCCTCCAGGTCCTGAGTGCAGCCGCCAGCCAGGGGCGCAGGCGCCTTCTCTCCCCGGAACAAAGCCATCGAGGTGAACAGCGTGGCCGATGTTCCTGACGGCTCCAGCTGGTCCCCGCCTTCTGTTTGCTCCTGTCACGGTCACGCTGGCTCAGCCGGTCCGCCCCTCGGTTCTTCTTCTTCTTCTTTTTTTTTGTTTTGTTTTTATTTTTATTTTTTTAATTAAATCTTTATTGTTCAGATTATTACATTTGTTCCTCTTTGTTCCCCCCATAACTCCCCTCCTCCCAGTTCCCGCCCCACCCTCCGCCCTCACTCCCCACCCACTGTCCTCATCCATAGGTGCACGATTTTTGTCCAGTCTCTTCCCGCATCCCCCACACCCCTTTCCCCCCCAAGAATAGTCAGTCCATTCCCTTTCTATGTCCCTGATTCTATTATAATCAACAGTTCATTCTGCTCATCAGATTATTTATTCACTTGATTCTTAGATTCACTTGTTGATAGATGCATATTTGTTGTTCATAATTTGTATCTTTACCTTTTTCTTCCTCTTCCTCTTCTTAAAGGATACCTTTCAGCATTTCATATAATCCTGGTTTGGTGGTGATGAACTCCTTTAGCTTTTCCTTATCTGTGAAGCTCTTTATCTGACCTTCAATTCTGAATGATAGCTTTGCTGGGTAAAGTAATCTTGGTTGTAGGTTCTTGGCATTCATCACTTTGAATATTTCTTGCCACTCCCTTCTGGCCTGCAAAGTTTCTGTTGAGAAATCAGCTGACAGTCGTATGGGTATTCCTTTGTAGATAACTGAGTTTCTTTCTCTTGCCGCTTTTAAGATTCTCTCTTTGTCTTTTGCTCTTGGCGTTTTAATTATGATGTGTCTTGTTGTGGTCCTCTTTGGGTTCCTTTTGTTTGGGGTTCTCTGCGCTTCCTGGACTTGTAAGTCTATTTCTTTCACCAGGTAGGGGAAGTTTTCTGTCATTATTTCTTCAAATAGGTTTTCAATATCTTGCTCTCTCTCATCTTCTGGCACCCCTATAATTCTGATGTTGGTACGCTTGAAGCTGTCCCAGAGGCTCCTTACACTATCTTCATATTTTTGGATTCTTTTTTCATTTTGCTTTTCCGGTGGGGTGTTTTTTGCTTCTTCGCATTTCAAATCTTTGACTTGATTCTTGCACTCCTCTGGTCTGCTGTTGGGAGTCTGTATAATATTCTTTATTTCAGTCAGTGTATGCTTAATTTCTAGTTGGTCCTTTATCACATCGAGGGTCTCACTAGATTTCTTGAGGATCTCACTACATTTATCGGCGGTCTCACCAGTCTTTTTGAGGGCCTTACTAAATTTATCGGCGGCTTCTAGACAGTTCTTGAAAGACCTTAAAACTGTGGTTTTGAACTCTATATCCAGCAGTTTGCTTTCCTCCATTTCTGTCATTTGTGTCCTGTTTCTTTGTCTCCGCATTTTTTATGCTTTCTTGGTGCACTCCCTTGTGGTCTTTGTGCGCAGTCTTGTTGTAGTTAAGCCTTGATTGTTGTAGGTAACACTGAGGGGGATTTGACCTCCAGGCCAACTGGCTGTGAGAATCAGCTGTGTGTGCAGTGGGAGAACTTCTGTCCTCTAGGGAGGTGCTAATCTAGCCTTTGCCTGAGGCTATCCGGCAAATGCCTGTGTGCAGGGCTTGGGCAGGTGGGTCCCAGGGGATCAATAGGGCGGGCCAAGCGAGCAGTTATGGCTACTCTCAGTCCTGTCCCCAGAGGCCCTGCCTCTCAGTGTCCCAGCAACCGCTGCAAGTACCTCGGAGAGAAAACTGCCCTTGAGTTCCGACCGATGCCAGACAGTCCCGCTTCTCCCGTTTGAGTCTGGGTCCCCAGAGACTCGCCCAGAACTGGAGCCCAGAGCCTGAGACTCCCTCCCGATTGAAACAGACAATCGCGCCCTCCGCTGCCAGCCCACTCCGCATGCACCTTCGCACCTTAGTATTTTACTTCCATACCGCACCTCCTCTGAGTCTCGGTGTGCTTTTCTCTTTCCTTCTAGTTGTAGAATTTCCCCTCGGCCAGCCTTCCTGTGGTTCCGGGTGATGTCCGTTCCGTCTTGTAGGTGTATTTGTGAAGTGGTTGTGCGAGGCAGCCATCTCCGGCGTTCGCCTGTGCGCCCCGCCGTCTTGGTTTCTCCTCCTCAGGTTCTTCTTAAAGACTGGTTTTTGTCACTGAACTCCTTTCTCGCCCCATTTTGCTTTGTCTCACCTGCGGCTTTGCCCAGAGGAGCGGTGCGACCCTTGCCCCCTGGTCCTCAGAGTCAGAGCGTTGGTGTGCTCCAGGGCACCCCTCCCCCTGTGGCTTTGCACCACCCACCTGCAGGGCACCGGCCCCTCTGGATAGGGCGGGCTGTTACATAAGCTACTTGGCTGTACTTGTCCACAAAGCCGTGGGAAAAACTTTGCAAATACCAGCTGAAATGGACACCCGGGGCCCAGGGCCGTGTTGCGCAACAGTGCTCTGAGGCCTCGGGGACTCTCAGGCTAAGAGCCTGCACCCCAGGTGCCTGAGGAGGGCGGTGTTTCCTTCTCGGAAAGGCCGCCCCGTGTCCGCATTCTTTTTTTTTTCTTAATTGTTCTATTGCTTAAAATATTACAAAGGGTATTACATTTGTCTCCTTTTCTTTCCACCCTCGACAATCCCCTGGCCTCCCTACCCCCCATGTCTTATGTCCATTGGTTATGCTTATATGCATGCATACCAGTCCTTCGGTTGATCTCTTACCCTCCACAGTGTCCGCATTCTTAGCGCATTTGATCTTTCCACGCCTTCTTGGAGGGCTCACCACACCTTCCCTCGACGGGCCCCATTTGACCTGTGGTTAATCTCGTCCAACGGGAGGCAGCCGCCGGGCGCTCGCTCCTTGGGGTGCCGGCTGCTATGCTTCTAGTTTCCGTCCTCATCTAGAAGGGTGAGGGCGTGAGGCTGCCATTGAATGATCCGTTCTGGAATGTTTGTGTTGTTTCCGGGAGCGGCCTCAAGCTCATTGACCTGTGGTTTCCAGAATCATCTTGGCTTTTTCTCTGCTTTCGTCAATGCACAAGCAGTTGGCGCGGATGTGGGACTCCTGCCCCGTCCCGTCCCGTCCCGTCCCGTCCCGGGCTCGTGACCGGCAGCCTCGTCGGAGGGCGGGAAGGCTGCTGCCTTGAGGGGGGGGGGGGGGGGGAGACTCCCTGGCCACCCTCCTTTCTCTTCCTGCTGCCCCGCCACTACCGCGCCCCCTTGCCCCCGTCCCCCGTCCCCCGCCCACGGTCACCACGGTCAGTGGCGAGGGGACCTGCCTGCCCCTGCCCTGGCCTCAGCCGCACCTTCAGGTAACAGCCGGCAGCCGGGGCGCCACCCGGTCCCAGACCCGCTCTGCGGTTTCCTCACTTCACTCCGCTCAGGACTCATCTGGGCTGAACCTCGGGGGCCCCCATCCTGCGGAGTCATTAGAACCCCACGATTGACCTTGCAATCACCCCTCTTCCCTCTAAACACTTGCCATCTGCCTTCCCACAGCGCCACGCCATGCAGGGCCCGGCGTCCCCACACCCCGTCCCTCCCGCGCCCCCGCGGCCGCATGGGGGGGGGGGGGGATGGGAGGAACAGGCAGTGCGCAGAGCGAGCCTGCGTGTGTGCCGGGCCTTGTAGCTGCTCCTCAGATCGCAGGGAAACCACATCGCCGGGTATTCCTGACGGTTATGCCATCGAACGTGGCCGGAGCCACGTAACTTGATCAAAAAGAACAATTTCTCCAGTATTGGGGGCGATAAGTGATCGCCCATTAACTAACGAAAAGCAACATCTTCTACAAGAAAAGGGGAAGGATGACCCGCGGAAAGGGGCTTTGGCCACACGCCACTCGGGGTTTGTTTAGACGGGGCGGCCTCGTTTAAAGCTCGCCGCCATTTTCCCTGCGCTGTGTAAGGTCTCCTCTGCTCCTCCGGGCGGAAAGGGGTTCGGAGGGTGAGCTGACGCCCCGACGTCGCTCCCTCCGCTGGTCAGTGGCCGAGCGCGGGCTGGCGAGGCCCAGCCGGCTGCGCTGTGCTTCCTCCCGCAGGTCGGTTCCCTGGGCGTCCTGTCCCGGCCCTGTCCCTGCGGATGAAGCAGGGACAGCGGGTCGCGGGGTGGTCGGGGCTGAGCGGCCGGACGCTGTGCGCGGGGCAGGTGGGTGGCCGGGCGCCCGAGCTCAGGCCCGCGGGAAGCAGGTCCTCTCGCCCTCTTCCCTCGGGCCCTCGCCGCGGCTGTGGTGTGTGCGTCTGAGTGGGGCTCCGGCCCGGGGACAACCAGTTTTTCCAGAACAGGGGCTCCCTGCCACTGCGCGGGGGCGAGGGCATCGAGGTCATGCTTAGTGTGTGTGTGTGTGCACGCGTGCACGCCCCATGGCTGAAACCAAACG